AAAACAAGAGTTGTACAAGCAGAAATATTGGATGCAAATCATACTTCACAGGAAATCGCAGAACATCATCAGAAACTCGATAATAACTTGCAGTATTTACAAAGACTGACCAAAGAAAGTATCGTTAAAATCAATAAACTAGAATTTAAAAATAAACTGTTAGAGCAAGCCTTTTTATTCGAGGTAACTCTCAATCAGTATGCTTACGAAACACAAAACCTTATTGCCATTATAAATGCAGCACTGGATGGCAAGATCCACACCAGCGTAATTACCCCCAGAAAATTAATACAGGAGTTAAAAGAAATTAAAATCAACTTACCCATGGGAAACGACCTCCCGATAGAAGTAATACCTGAGTCCATGCCAAACCTTTTCAAAATCTCTGAAATAACGATTTTCGTGCAAAACGAGTACTTAATATTTTCTATTGAAATACCCTTGATTTCAAGTAAAGTGTTAAATGTGTATCGAGTTGTTTCATTACCAATGATATATTCTACCAATACATTAATTTTAATTGAACCCGAAGTCGAATATTTGGTAATTAACAATGATAATGAGGAATTTTTCACTATGACAGGGAAACAGTGGGAATCATGTGTAAATTTAGACACTTACAAATTATGTAAAGGTGGTCAAACATTTCACCGCCGCTCGAGATCGAACGTTTGCGAAGTAGCACTTCTAACATATCAACCAATCCCAGAAACTTGAAAAATAAAATTTGTAACATTAACAACGTCCATTTGGGATAAGTTATTGGATTCCAATGCATGGTTATTTTACACACAACCAACTTTAGTGACCATCAAATGTGCGGAACCTCCACAAATAGTATCATTTCAGATCTCAGGCGTAGGAAGGTTGACCACCTCCCAAGATTGTGAAATCCATACAGAAAATTCCATTATATTTCCGACCAGTAGATCTAATAGAGGTATCTATGCTGATTTAATTCCAGAAAGCAAAAAACAGGAATCAGTATTATCAGAGAGTCTAAAAAATATAATTCCCCAGAACCTAAAAGACATAAGTATCGTACACGATTTTAATTCTTTATCCAAAAGGTTAATAGAAATAAGTAAGTTACCAAAGGTAACAACAGAGTCTCTAATAATATTTCAAATGGAATTTCATATGGTACTTGTGTATATCTTAATGTTAACTATAATATCCGTAGTTAGTGGATTAGCTATTAAGTTTAGAAACAGCATAATTAGAATGTACTATCCGGATTTACCGGATATTTTATCACTGAATAATAAGTAAACATTATAATCATAAATTTAGTTATGAAAACATATTGTACGGACCATTAGGGAACCATTAGGTCCCTAAGTTCCATTTAAGTTGGGGGGTGTTAAGAACCCCTGGCTATATTAGTTAGTATATATATATATAATAGTGTATAATATAATATTGTACGACGGCGACTGTCTGGAATTGCTGCGACAGCAATTCCAGGCAAGCGCTGGCTACAGGCACGGCTCGTATAGCAAGCCGTGCCAGTGGCATTTCAGAGCAGTAGACGGAACATTGTGATTCGCGCCAGAACATTATTATTGTCAGACCATTTTTTATAAAACATTAATTAATTCATTAAGTGTATTGTAAGTTTTTCTTTTCAAGTTAAATATAGAAAGTAACATATAGTTCGAAAGTGTTCGTTGTTTTTATTTGTGCACGGACCTCCAAGGAGATACGTAACATCATATCTAACGAAAATTTTTCGATTTTTTTTCAAAATTCGAGTTTCACCGTCGAAGACTTGTTCGCGTTCCCCGCCAAATTTATAAGCCGCCGCCGCGTCAGTACTTCGCTTCCGTCGAGTGTCGAGGTGGAGATCGGAGAGCGGACAGTGTCGCTATTACTATATACGTAAATGAAAATATGAGACAAAAAGTTCGATTTTCCGATTCAATAAACTGCGTTCTTAAATTATATTTTACTGCCTTTTATCCTTTTGCCCACTCGGTCACGCCGTGCCTTCCTTATATCGGTATTTATATATTTGATTTGGCAGAAATATACACGATATAGCCACAGAAATAATAAATTAACACTTGACTTTATTATCCACATATTTTATTATTTATTTTTATGCAATGCACCTATATAATTTAACATGGGCTGGATTATATGGGATGGTTGTTTTATACTCGAATAGACAGTAGTAATATAACTAACCTACATGTAGGTATACTAGGTACTACTTAATATAGTAGGTACATTTTTTAGGTGAGTCAAATTATGTAGGTATATTAGTGAACAAATATAACTTTTATGTAGGTATTTAATTGAATTCTGGCAGTTAAATTGTATCTATAACGATATGACATAAATTTGATATTACTCAAAAGTCAAAATATAGGTAGGTTTATCACGTATATTTATATGAGTTTCGAATCAATAATACAAATAGATAATTTATAAATGACGAATAACAAATTGATATATATATATATCATTTACTTACATATATGACTTAGGTATTATATTATAGATGTATGTATATTGTATACCTACCTAACAATATAGTTATATAATTTAAGCATATTATATGTATGTACATGAATTAATAATGAAATTAGTACATATTTTGGTCTATTGGTCTAAAAGTATAAATTAAGTACCTACACAAAATATTATAAATATTATAATTATATCAGTTAACATATTATTGGTATTTTATAGTATAGTTGTATACTTATATATAAACAAGGCATATTATGATATTATGATATTAAGTATGTTGTATGTATAATATGAATGAATAGTGAAATTAGTGCCTAAGTAAATGTAGTTGCATGTAGCTACATATAAGTACTCCAAGGGTACATAATATTGATAGACTGTTAGACAGAAACAGAGGACTAATTTTGAAATGTTTTAGATTCTGAGTGGAACGATGAATGTATTGATTTTACAATGTTGTGTGCGTATTTTTTATTTTTTTATTTTTAATTTTATTTGTGTCTGTGTACACGATAAGCAGTCGAAATAATGCTTCGATTTTCAACTTCAGTATCTTGTTCGATTGGAAAGTGAATATCATTGGTGCATTAGGGAGGTCAAAATTTAAAATTCACAGATATTTTCAAAAACGCCAAGAAAAACAAAAGAAAAATTAATAAAAAAACGGGAATTTTTACGCAAAATCGAATTTGGGTTTTAGTGTAACTTTAATCCAAATGACCGTAGATACATGAAATTTTCACTAATTGCATTTTCTATACACGATAACATTTTCAAAATATTTTGATTTATTTTGAACTGTTTACGGACATTTTCAGTTTTAAATTTTTTTAGTTTTTTTTTTCTATAAATATCAATAAAATGTTATTTGTTGGGTAAAAAGCGTGAAAATGTAATGCAAAGCTCCTGATATATTGTTACAATAGCAGTTGAAAAATATTAATATTAGCAACCTTTTGCGGACCTCAAGGACTGTTCATACGTATTTCTCAGGGAGGGAGGTTTCGAGCAGCACTTCAACCACCATATCAAGGACCCTACGAGGTACTTTTCCGAAATGACAAGACTTTCACAATAAAAGTTCGAAATCAACCAGTTACGGTTACGGTTGATAGAGTAAAACCCGCCTATCTCCCGGCGAACGAAATCACAACTATAATAGCCAGGCCCATGCTCTACTAGCTGCTACCCCGAATACGCCCAATCATCAACAGCCGCCTAAAACCGATCCATCGACACAGCCAGTACGAACAACTCGCTCAGGTCACCGAGTAAGATTCCCGGCCATTTTTGACCCCAGCTAATTCCACTCCGCAGGGGGGTGGTGTGGCGGTCGAATGTTTTAGAATGTTCTAACGGGGGGAATACGATTCCGCACGTTTTTTTTTTTTTTGAACACGATTCCGCACACTTTATTGTTCATAGGAATACAATAGGAATTGATTGCAACGTTGTCAAATTTATTACAAACGGTTTATTATAAAAATTTATAATAATATTATAAAAAAAAAAATTTAATAATTATTGTAAAAAATATATAATAAAAATAGTTATCTCTAGTAAATATCTATACCTAGTGAGCCGATATTTACATGTATTTAGCAACGCTAAATCGTTGCCCTTTTCAGATTTTATTATCTCTAATTGATTATCCATGCCTATCAATATAAATTATAACACTGTAAAAAATTCGTACACACGCGCTGCGTTTTAACCAGACAGTTCTGACTAGACTATAGTATACTTTACCATCGCCATACTGACAACACCAACCAACAACTATATTATGGGTAATTTATCAAAATAATCTCGTCATTACGAGATTATCGTTATAATGTTAGGTCGCATAACAAATATTAATCAAATCATATAGACTCGGATGCTCGGTAAATTATGCTGAACGCTGCAGGTTGACATATAGAAGTATAGAACACATGTAATTTAATGTATATTGTTATCTTTATCGACTTTATCAAAAGACCCGACTTATCTTATTTTCAATTAGTTTGAACTTGAAATGTCGTAGTAAATATGGAAAAGTTCAGGTCCCTAAATAATATGCACTAATTGTATCAATCTCATGTTACAAGAATAAACGTGCGGAATCGCATTCGTTACATGGCAACGTCGCATTCGAATACAATACGGATTTGGGTAGAAAAAAAAGGTAATATAGAACAATGAACGTGCGGAATCGTGTTCTACCCGTTCTAACGTTCTAGAAGGATCGCACCGTCGCCGCCTCTAGAAGATTCGACGATTCAGGCCCGATTCGCCGACACCCAATTTGCCGACTACTCGATTCGCCGACGCGGAAACCGGTCTCCGGTAAAAATGGAAAAAGTTCCAATTCGCCGACAAACAAAGTAAATATAACTTAATATATAACTTTGTACTTAATTTGTTAGAACTATATTAGCAAAACCTAATTTGTTGCCATTATTGTTTTAGGTGTGCTGAAATTATTAAATTATTTTACCAAAACATACTTGGATCCAGATATTTGTCTGTTTAATAGAAATATGTGGAATCATTTTAATACAGATGGAGCAAGGACCATAAGCCACCTTGAAGGATGGCATGCAGCTCTTGACAAAGCTGTTGGTAGACCAAAGCCAAACATATTTATTTTAATCAAAGAGCTGAAAAACCAACAAACAAACTTTGAGCTTGATCTCATAGCGCAAAAAAACTGCAATCGGCCACAAAAGATGAAAACAAAACACAAAAAATTAGAAGAAAGATTATCATTTGCAAAAGAAAGGTAAAGCGTTTATGACATATAAAAATACATTTTTTTTCTAATAACGTTTTAAAATATAATTCTAGGCTACAAAATGGTGCGATTTCTATCTTGGAGTACATGGACGCCATAATGTTTCATTTACATTTGTAAAACAAAAGCACATAAGGATAAGCTATATCTAATATATAAATGTGAAAATGAAAACCTTTGAGTGATATGTTCTCGGAAACTACTGAACCGATCTTTATGATTTTTTTTTTTTAAATTGAAGAGCTCATTGCGGAGAAGGTTTATGGCTTTTGATTGATTCTCTAACTTTAAAAACAAAGGAGTTATCAATTATTATAAATTTTCATAAAATTCAGATCGAAATTTTTGTTTATAAATGGTTGCCATGAGTGACGTCTTATAAAATGATTCGTTATAGAAATTTTAATACAGAATTAAAGTTAATCGTTTTAAGTCGTTGCCACGAGCATAAACAAACCATTTATTATAATTATTTATTATTATTTGTTATTGAACATTATTCAATCAGTATCTATTATTATTATGCGTCTGTAGCAATGATGGGTTTATAAGCCATATAGTAGTAATAATAATAATAATAATAAAAAACTATTTGCTTTACTTTTTAAATATAAATTATAATATTATAATATCCAACTATAAAAATGTGAAATGAAAATCCCTGTACGGGCTGAACTCTGGAACTACTTATCAGATCTTCTTGATTTTTTTTTTAAACGAAAGAGTATTTCACGAAGAAGGTTTATATGAAAGAAAATTTTAGGAAAACCCACCGGTGTATAATATATTGGTTGCTATTGGTTAATCGGCCATGTTTGTTACCTAGGTAGATTGCCTACCTGATAAGTGATAATGTACTGCTGCGAATCAGAATTTTTATTCAGGGTGACAGAAAATTTAAGATAAATTTTTAACACTATGCACCGAATATTAAATAACGAATTGAACATCGTTTGAGTCATATAAAGTTGGTACATTTAACGGGCAACGAAGTGCACGGGATCAGCTAGTAGACTATATATTTTGATAGTTGACTTAAACAATGTTCGTGATTTATAAAAATTTAAAACAGTAAAAAAAATAAATATATTTTTGAGTGAAAATTGCATGTCGGCAAATCGGGTGTCGGCAAAATGGTGTGTCGGCCAATCGGTACGTCACGGATTCAACAGCCTACATAAGTATTATAAGCGCAAGATCGTTGTTCCGTGGCCCGTGCTGTCATTCGGTCGTCAGCCAGTCTACGCGTTTTGTCTCGCCGTCTCACACTTAAGATTTGTTAGCTGTGTAATATAGTTGTAATCAGTAAAAGTGTTTATTAATTTATTTACATCTACCTATTACACTTGCATACTCACAATTTTTTTTATAAGCATTTAAAGTTCGAATTTCGACAAAATTTAATAATTTTTTTGTAGTTAATAATTTATAAAAAGTTAAACTTTTATAGCTAGACATTGAAAATTTAAAACAAGGTTCCACGTAAATAGGTTATATATAAATTACTTTATTCACTGCAATAATATCAAATGTACCTACTTAGTAATATCATAGGCTGACTGACCGTTTTATTTATTTTTATTTTATCCTGTATTAATTATCATAGAAACAAATAAAATAAAAATAATGATTTTAGTTATTTTGTTGTAATTTATAATGTTAATTCAACTTCCAGGCTATAATAAAATAACAGTATAAAATATCCAGACTGACAAACCGTCTCCGCTCAGAACCTTTTTTCGTATACAATGATATGATATCATTGAATTCAAATTTAATACAACCCATTATACAGTTACCAATCATATTTTTCTTCCGTTTTATTTTCCATCGGTTCATTGTACATTTTTTAATTTTTCTAATGAATTTTTTTTTTCAAGACTTTGAACTCATTTTTGAGTACACTGCATGTATTGCCCGAGTGAATAGATACTATTTCATATGGACCATTCCACGGTATCTGACGCCAACCACCTTTCCGATCATCCCTACACAAGTTTCTGACGAAAACTTTATCACCTTCTTGGAATATGTGACCCGTATTATGACGTTTAGAATAAGAATAACGTTGACGTGTTTGTGATTCATCTATATTTTTTTTTGCTTTTTCTTCCATCATGATATTCCTCATGACGTTCATTTTATTTAGTGTAGTTTTAAATGTTTCTTGATCAAATAAATATAAATCATTATCTTGATGATCTGAGTCTGACGCGGACACGATGATTGCTTCAAGGTTGATCGTGGTCCGGTCGAAGTGTTTGGTTAGGATTGAGGTGATGAAAAAAACACAACACAAACACTTTAAGAATGTCACAAATTATGTATTATAATATTGCGACCAAAATATAACAATACATGACGTGCCGCTCGGGCAGATGAGTTTAACGTCGGACGATATGTTATCGGTCCGACGGTGGATCTCGAATCGACTTTTCCGCCGACCGTTGTACGTCTTACGCGACACAGTCCCCCCGTCCCGCCTTGCCGTTACCGGCTCGGTGGGAGAGTCAACCCGGTCGCGCTGCTTGCATCCCGTGGTGGTGGTTGGAGATAAGATAGACTGGTCGCTATAGTGCTTGTACATTGTACTTGCTACTAACGCGGGCCGCGTCAAGTCATACTGATTATTTACTATTAGTTATTACAGAATATTTATCTTTATCGTCTTAATTAATACCAATAGGCAGCGTAGCATCACGTTGATATAACATTTTAAATGGCGTGTATCCAGTGGAAGAATGCTGTGCCGTTCTATGTGCAAATAAGACACCTTGTAAAATATATATGGCTATTGCATTACATTCTCCAGCAATACTTTCAACAAACAAATTTTTAGTTGTACGGTTTTGATGTTCAACCAGGCTTGCAGATGATAAGCCGATGTAACTCGTTGTTCAGTCCCTGTGAGACGAAATAGCTCGTCGTTCAGGTTATTTACAAATTCTCTCCCCTGGTCGCTTAATTTGTATTTTTGGACACCCATGGCATATTATTTCATCATACAAAAACCGTGGGCTTCACGATCCATAAAAAAATTAAATTGAATAAAGTATATGTTATGTGTAAGTTTCAAAAATGTGCAGTGTATAATATTATAATATATAAACATATTATCCGGGTAATTTACGAAATAAACATTAGTAAAATATACCTATAGCTTGTAACTTATAAATATTAAATAATATCTATACAAATTTACAATTGATATAATTAACAAATGTACAATTATATTTTATATGATTTTATTAATGGGGAATTTTTTCCCGGCATTCACACAGATTATACTTCGTTCGCTGAGATAACGCAATTCACCTGCCCAATAATAATAATATACCTATTATTACTTAAACCTAAATGGCTAAATGTATTTTATTCATTCTAAAGAAGAGATTCTTTAGGACACAAATTTATGCATATTTTAAGGTTTTTTTATGGCATGAAATCCCTAGCCCTAATAATGAATCTAAAAAAATTTTAAATTTCATTTTGTACATAGAAAATAGACATAATATAGTAAATTTTAATAATAATATGCGTATTTAATAGAAAACAATTCGAGGCACTCCAAATTTTTAAGATTTACAATAAAATAGCTAAAAATGGATATTTTTTCTTTAAATATCCAATTTCGTCAACATTTGAACTTTAAATATCTATAAAAAAAATAGCATGTGTTTATTATCATTTTTTTTAACCGTGGTAAATTACATACTGTCACAAAAAGAATAAAGTGCATTTTATTGTTTTATGTTTTTCATACATTTTTATGCATTCATTCGTTTTTTTATAAATTTTCCAACATAACACGTAAGTAGGTACCTACCTGTTTTAGAATTTCCACAGATTTCAATTCAGGAACCACTTTCAATGAAGTTGGATTCACTATTTGACAAGAATGACATCGCATTATAAAATTCCTGCCATCGTCAGACATATGGTACCAAAAATATCTAAATAAAAAAAATGTTAGAATAATAATATACTATCAAAAAGTCAAAATGCTACCTTCAAAACTAATATTGACACTAATAATATTAGAAAAAATAAATCTAGTGCCACAGTTCAGGTACATTAGGCCATGTATAAAGCTCTAAAACTTGTATGGTATGCAAGAATACTAATACTATAATTAGTTTATATTCATTACGTATAATCAAACGTTGGGTGGTGTCACGATCTCTATATGGGCTGACAAAGCGGAGGCTTCAATTGAATAGTCTGAACCACAATGCATCATTTTTATAATAGGAAGTTGTTCATCTGCATTACTAATAACACGTGCATGTGTCTTTTTATAAAACAACTGTCCATTTTCTATTTGAAAAGGCTTACATTGTTTTCTAAAATTTGATTTCTCATTTTTAGTAGAAATATTTCCCGGATAAATGTTAAATTTTAAATAATCCAACAAATCTTTGGATCTTTCACATCTACGTGTTGACGTTTTTTTTCCAAATGTCCGTTATTTAAAACTGAAATATGATATAATATATTAGATTCTTAGTGGAGCGAAGAATATGTTAACTTTACAATAATGATTTGTGTTTTGGATTCGTGAGTGATGAATGTATTGATTTTACAATGATGTGTATTTGTTATTTGTTGATTTTTTTTTGTATACACGATATCTAATCGAAATAATGCTTCGATTTTCGACTTCAGTAATTTATCTAAAAGAAAAGTAAATCTAGTTGGTACTTTTGTGCGGTAAAAATGGAAAATTAGGTACTGGTAGTTTCCAAACACTTCGGAAATAAATTAGAGATAACGGAAATATTTACTCAAAACTATAGTTTTCGACCAAATCTATCGATTTATTTGGCTGTACCTATTGTTTACTCAAAAAAAAAAAGTTTAAGATACTTGACATTTTCGCCAAACGTTTATATTGACATTATCGATGCATGGTATATTTTTCAAAATATTTCTGAGCTATTCATGGATGGTTGAAATTTTCAATTTTTTTTTTGTTTTGCTTAAGTGTAGAAATGTTTATAAAAAAAATAGGCTGATAAAAAGATCTTTAATATTATTAATACAAGTGTATGCGCCGGGCAGGGAACAATAATTAGCCCGTGGCCCGTGTACTTCGGGCGCAATACTCACACACCGACCGACCTTATATTTGTGTATATAATATGTATAGCGACTCAAGAGTGATGGACGGGATCGCCTAGCAAATCTCTGAGCGCTGGGTAGTGTGTGGTGAGTAGGTGTGTATGTGTATGTACTAAATGTACTTATATTAAACTAATAATAAAAAATAATAACACGGTTCTTAACAATTGATAAATAGTATTGCTGTATTACTGGTAAAAGCCTTAAATCGATAATAATATTAAATTCACAGCAACACAACAATATAAATATGATAATAATAATAATAAATGCACAGTCCTTTTAGCCAGACAGAATAGTATAATAATAATATGTAAAAACTCACGGTTTGTCGGTGCTCTGCTGGCCAGCCGCTACCTAACTACCTAAGCTATATGTATAACGAACAATACAATAATAAATAATAATACAATTTTTGATACAATTCAAAATAATATAATATTGTAAGGTATATGTGAAATAACAGTTGCGGTTAGCTCATCTGCATAAAATGTAATACAACGATGTACACAGCCGATAATACAATAAGTAATGATAATAATATTATATAAGTGGCGATTCGCGACCACGACTTAGTACAATATTATAAAAGGGACGATTCGCGCCCGCGACACAGTAAAATTATATAAAAAGGACGATTTGTGCCAGACAATGACTGCAGAAAACAATTTAATAATTTAAAAACCAGCGATTCGCGCACGGCAATGAATCGTGGGTTCTTGGATGACACCGCTTAGTGAACTGATTCGTGTTCGGGCGGCTGTGCTTTTAGTCCGCGTTTCTCGCGGCGAGCGGTCGTCGACCGGTTTACATTAGTATAGGTAATCTACGTTTATATAATACACAAAACAGAATGATACAAATAAAACAATTTAATAATAATAATATAATCACGACACTGTGCTGTGTGTGTGTGATACGGTCGATGGTGACGTCTACCGCGCTATTGCCGTATTGTCGCGGCGGCGACAACAAGGTTACTTCGACTTTCAAGAAACAAAAAAAAAAAGGTGCTCTGCTGTACAGTAGGTTACAAGTGGGTATAATGGATGGTATTAATTTTGAATTCAATGATATAATATTATCATTGTATAAGAAAAACGATTCTGAGCGGAGACGGTATGTCAGTCTAGGTATAAGGCATATTATATACATATCTATGGTATTAAAAATAAAATTGACCTATAATAGGTACCTACCTATAATAAATTCCAAATTAATCATATCACAATTCACAATATCCATTAGGTACTTATAACTCGTTATACATCAAGAAAATAACGTGATACTATCATAGATATAAAATAGTGTACTTTAAAAGTTTCAAGTACCCACGAATAATATTATACAATCACAACAAAATAACTAAAACAGTTATTCGAGGTTTTTTTTTTATCTAATTTCATCCAAATTTGAACTTAAAATGACTATAAAAATAAACTGTGACTAAGGATTTTTAATATTTATCATCGGCCTTTGAACCAATATACTAGGAGCCTTCTATTAAATTTTCAAGCTCTTTTACCCAGCAAATAAATTTTTATTGGTATTTATAGAAGAATAAACTAAAAATATTGGAAAATGCATTTGATATGAATATGTCCGTTTACAGTTCAAAGCAAATCAAACATTTTTGAAAATTGTATTGTGAATAGAAAATGCTAATATAATCAACCTGTGAACATTTCATGTATTTAGGGTCATTTGTTTTAGAGATACGCCAAAAACCTAAATCGATTTTGCCGATAACTGATTTTGCGTAAAAATTCACGTTTTTCCTTAATTCTTTTTTTGTTTTTCCCTGCTCTTCACCAAACTATTTTAAATTTCAACCTCCCGAATGCACCAACTAGATTCACTTTCCCATCGAACAAGATACTGTTGAAGAAAATCGAAGCAGCCCTACTGCCCCAAACAATGATGACAGATACAAAAATTAAACAATTTAAAATATATAAAAATATGAAAACACACATCGATGGGAAAGTGAATCAAGTTGGTGCTTGGGAA